CGCTGTGTTTCCAGGGCCGATCTTTAACCACAAAGTCAGGACTAGTAATGTCTAGTACCATGCGAAAGAATCTGTCCAGGGCTAGGAGTCTAGTTGCCAGTACGTTATTCGCATCTCAAAGGCGACAAGAATGTAGATACCTGATGTCCCATGCAACTGTTGATTCGCTCATCGAGGACATAAACTCATAAAATGACTGTGGATCAACAATCAATATTCTAAGGAATAAGGTGGTCCTAATACTTGCGATCTCATGATGCTGGATCCCATAAAAGTGCCAGACACTGTGATAAGGAAGAGTTGTCTGGCCGATCACAAACTTAAGAGATGATTGTGCATACCATGGATATAGGGTGCTTCCATTGCGCAACACGAAGTTATCGACCTCGTGTGCCTCAAGAAGCGAAGCGTGCATAATAAAAGAGTGTAGGAATTTCGCAATGAGACAGATGACTGGTTCCATGCCGGTGGCAACGAGAGTACCGAGAGCGAGCATCAGTTCGCCATCGATGATAATGGGGTCGGTAGCGTGAGCCATGAGTGTGTTCTGCTTTCTCCTGGTGTTCGGTCAGCTTGGGACCACGAGCTGAACGTGGTTGATCTAACTTGCCTTGAAGGAAGATTTTTGATATCTTCTTCTGTTATCATTTCGTTTGAAGTAAGCATGGCGCGGTCACATCCGTAAAGCAACAAGCAAGTAGCGAGGGATTGCCTGATAAATGTCAATGCACTTCAATCATGTTGTCAGTAATGAGGCAGCATAAGTAGTATCCGGAAATCCCACCACGAAGCATCGTCACTTGAGGATCGGAGGGCACTCTTGATAGCAGGCTGTAGGCTAGCGATCATAGTGGAGATCGATTTCTGTAGATCTTGTCGACCCATCGACCTCGTCCACACGGACAGTAAGGTGGCTTCAGTGAAGACCGAGGCCTGTTTCAAGGTTACAAGCCCTTTCCGCGACAGTTCGCTGTATTCAGTAAATATTGGAACGTCAATGTCGACACCCGAACGAGCAAATAGCCTCAGCCAGCGGAGGCTGTCCGAAAGTCCGTTTTCTTTGGCCGTCCGTCGAACCATGCCCCATGGATCAGATATCTTCACTGCGTGCCCATCGACTTGCGCAAAAATCTGGTCAACAAATGTGGTGTGGCGAGATGTGTTCTCAGCTGAATCTCGATTGAGGAGACGTTGCAGAATTGGAAGAGACTTTGGATTAATGAACATCGGATATTGAGTCAACAAGTATCACATCCCGTACCGTTGTATCGAGCACCTCAGGTTCGAGTGTCTGAAGCCACATGAGAAATAAATCATCAAGCACTGTGAAGTCGACTGAAGCTCTGCACAATCTTATTATAAAGCGCAGTGACCTTTCCGCGGTCGACGGTGACTGTCAGGCCTCAAATCAGTTTGCAAACCATACGTTCATGGGAGTGGCACGGACTTCGTGTGCATTGAGACAGGAGCGTTCGTGACGCGAAGCAATATCCTGGATATTATCAGACAATAATTGGACATAAGCGACAAAATCTTGATCGTGTAGTGCTAGAAGCCATCGGGCAGCATATCTTGAAAGCAGAGAACGCCTGGCTGCGACATAGTCACCACCATTATTGACGGAACTACTTGGTGCGCGACGCGCGTCATAAGTTGTTGGCCATACAGGAGCATCAGATCCACTCCTAACACCTGGGAGATCAATCGCTTGTGGGATGAAGTCACGAAGAATCTTTGCCAAACTGTCATCCTGGAAAACAAAGTCAATCAAGTACCAGTCATCGAAGAATTAGATTACCTCTGCAAAGATCCAGGATAGCACAGCATGAGATAACCTGCGCAGGGCATAATCTGATGCCAGCCCGCTAGGCCAGAAGCGCCTCACCAGGAGCAAGAAGCCGCATTCATTAACCGAAAGGTCCAAATCGGAAAGGCAAGCCTCGATAGCTGACACTAGCGTCTCCACATCAGCGGACAAGTCAAAGCCAAGCGGTAGTGGGAAGTAGCAGTGTTGGCTTGATTTTCCAGGCTCGGGTACACACGTAGGAAAATCTGCGCATGTGAAGAAGCCAAGTTTGTGAAGATGAGAAAGACAGTGACGCGCAGGGCCCTCGGACAACATATTGAATTCATATCCCAGGGAATTACGGAGATGCCCCAACGTGACGACCTCAAACGGACGACGTGCTGCATCATTGCCATCCTGTGTCGCCATATTTTCGCCAGACACATGCAAGTCTGGCCAAGCACCTGACGGTGGAGTTTGTACATCGTGCGATGTTCTGATGGTGGAGGAGATGTAAGCTAAAGTTGACCAATCAAACATGATCGCCGAAGAGGATGGGTTGTATCGGTTGGCTTCAAGGTATTCTCCGAGAGTCGCAGAGACGGGCAGTTTTCCAGAGGATAAGTAAGCTTCGTAAAGTTCAACCAGAAATTGCAGCTCGAATCCCTTGGCTGTGTCTTCATGACTGTCTGATGCTAGAACAAATGAACCAAGAGCAAGTCCATTGTTATAGATTTGCAGCTGCGTCCAGAGCATGGCAGATGATACAGAGATATCCTCAAAACTCCGCTTCCCCAGGTCTTCGGAGGAGAGGAAGAGATCCCCGTAGTAATCCGCGAATGTGCGGCTGATGCTATCCAATGATACCGCTATGTGAACGGAACCGAGATCTACAATTCCACAGATCGCGAGCGGTCTATCGAGGCACGTGAGATGCATAAAAAGCTTGCATGTCGTACAGTGGAATGCCTGACAACCCCATATCGGCAGAAAACAATGAAAGCAAATGGGCAAGGTAAAGAGATTGACGTGTCTGAAAATATGTTGAGCTCGTTTCACAGTAATGAGGTCGGCATCCCGCTTAGATGGGGGAATGAGGCAGAAGCGGTGAACGGCCAATGTTTCCGAATCGGACGCCGCCGCAGCGTACTGATGATGAACATTGCCTTCCGGGTAGTCGTAGCAATCGAAGTGCACGGCGCACATACATCCACAGCAGAGAAGTCCAAACCCCGTGATGGAGGAAGCACATGATTGACAGGAACTTGAACAGGCTTCGCCAAATGCCGAAGGCCGCTGTGACTGCCGGAATCTCCATGGTACAAAATCGTGCGCGCAGGAAGTGCTTAATTGCAATGGAGGATTAGGCATACTCCCTGTCCAAGGTTGCTCTCCCTGACCAAGGACAGGCAGAGACTTGCTAATGACGACATGCCCAAGAGCCCGTGGCCAAAAAGTTGTCAACAGGCATAGAGCGGCGCGGCGACTCTGAGGTACATGATATGCTATCACTTCCAATACATCCAAATACGAGTCTGGCTTAGAGTTGATTATGGTATCGAGCAGCCGGCATAAACTATACGTGGGTGGCAACGAAGTAGTATCGATATTTTCTAGAATGGCGGCCAATAGCGGAGGGGTTATGGAGGCCAGGTAATATACAGGCAAAGGCTGGAGAGGTGCACTTGTGGCCTGGATACGGGTACAACTCGCAGAGGCGAGAGACGTCCAAGGCTGCCACGAAGCTGTCTGGCAAGATGAACTCTCTTCGTCGTCAGGGGCCATTTCAACTTGAATAGAAACAAGGTTTCCTTGGCCATGATTAACGACAACTACGTCTTTTGCTGTCGGTAAATTTCCCATTATCCAAGCTCATCTGACTGAACGTACCCGACATATCTGTAGACACGTATCCCCTGATTCCGTTTAGATCCTCAAACACTCCCCTGAGTATAACATTGTCGAAAAAGGATAGCAAACGCGGATGCATCTCGCTTCGAAATGTCCCGAACGCAGGAAGAACCGCAAACGCAATACGGGAGATTATTGATGGTTCACTGGAGTGGACATGTGCAAGAAATTGGGCAATGTCAAGGCACACTGATTGCAGCGCGTTTGGAGGCTTCGATGGTCTGGGCGAAGAAATTTGAAAACGGCAGTCTTCCGATATCACTGAAGAAAGGATGGAGATGCACAGTGTTATAAGCGAAGCAGCTTGCGAGTGTCCCTTTGATGAAGGCGAACGAGATATTGAGCGCCTTCCACTAATGCTACTTCTTCTCATAGAGCTGCGAATGGTGAATGATGATGGTTTGGTGAATGGTTCGGTATCTGTACCCGATCCAGAAGCTCTATGCGAGTTTCAGCGATAATTCGGCTAGCACTGAGACAGTGATTTCATACCCTTGGTCAAATACCTGCCAGCCCTGCGAAGCAGAAAATAGCAATACCTCTTTCAACTGGACCATGAGGTCAAAAGTGGTTTCAGAAGAGAAAACGACACAGTCACTTCTTTCATCGTCACCATCTTCCTTCATGGATTGCAAGCGTTTGTGTGACTTCTGTTTAACTGCATTGCGTACTGCTCCAATTATGTGACCAAGATCTGCCTCAGTTGATGGAGTAGCATGAACATTTAACGCGTCAAAAATTGGGGGAGGACACGTTCTGGAAGAGAGCTGGTCAAGAAGCAACCCCACGAGCTTTTTCGACTCCTCTCGGGCGTGATTCACAGAGTCATGTTGCGACAGTGCCATTCTGGCTAATTGGGCTGAAGGAGAATGTTTATCTACATTGGGTGAAAGGGGGATGTAAAATGACGGTGAAGGAGTAATGCTGGCACTACTCGTCCCGCCAGGAGAGCCATCGTAATTTGACTTGATATGGGATGGAGGAGTGAGGGACTCAGTGTCAACGCGAAGTAATGGTGTAGACTTCATAGAGACTCGAGTCGGTGTGGCCATGGCGGCTTAGATTATTGGTCGTCAGCTGGAACTCGTCCAGTGTTATTCAAGTCGTGAGCAATTTACATGAAAGCGCTTGAGTCGATTAGTCATCATAATATGTGGGTCAAGACCACCTCCACATTGCATAGCCACAGCATTAAGTACTACTTAGTCCCCCCTGGCAGATCGATTGACTGTATCTAAGTACCCCGTTCATAAATCACGCGCACGGCTCGATGAAAGCTATCAAGTCACCATCTCCCAAGAAGATGAAACAGAGAACTTTGGGCGATTTTCTATTTCCATCCTCTCCAGCACCAATTTCACCCCCAGCACCTCCGGCGAAGCGGAAGCACAAGGCTATCGCTCTTGACTCGGATACAAGTGACGATCTTGCACAGGATAGTGATGTTGGCGCTATAAAGTTTGAACCAGAAGTTATCGATGTCAGCGATGAAGGCGATTCTCCACGCCGACCGAGTACTAGACGGCTCAAGAAATCCCTCGTTGTCACAGACAGTCTGCCAGATGTGGCAGCAAGCGATGACTCGCTGGAAGATCATATTGGCATACCTATGCGATGGAAAGGGAGCAATAAAGGGAAGAAGAAGAGAAAAGCAATAGCAGATTCCGACGATGAATCTCAACCGCGCAAACGAAAGTTGGTCAAAGGCGCCAGACCTCCAAGTCCTGAAGGAAGTGTTATCGATGAAGTCGATGAGAATGGTAAGCTCTATCTACTTTCCTCCTTGCGATGTTATATATATCTGCTTCCACAGACATCATTGAGTCGCGTCTTCGCGCTCGCGACAAGAAAACAACATTTCAAAAACGTCTTGAGAAGTTAAAGAGTGGGTCAATACCCTTGACGCGTGAAAATTCATCTCATTGAATATTCTATAAGGTCTCAAGGGTAAGAAACGCTCAGAGATAACCCTTGAATCCTCAGAGTCGGACACCGAGTCATCGGAAGACCCGGTGGTGCGACCCTTCAAGGGTGCACGACCAGATCATGGTCAAGAATATGAGTCCTCTAGTGGGGAACATAAACAAACAGATGAAAATGACGACTTTATCGTTGAAGATGACGCGCATGGTGTTTCGACTACGCAGCTACCCATCGCTTTTAGCATGAACACCCATCAAGATCTCGCCCATCAATTCAAGATCGTCTGCCAGTTATTTGTTCACATGGCTGTCCGTTCTCCTTCTGACAGACGCCCATTCATGAAGAAGATGTTGGAAAGTGTGGATGTTCATTGTCATTCGAAGGACAGCGCTAATACGGTCTGCAGCGGAGCAATATTTCTCTGTCCCACTTCAGGTAACGCGACGGAAATTATCTGGGATGAAAGACTCTCTGGTCACATCCTCGGTCTGGAAACCTCAATTCAAGAGGCCGCTCGAAAGACACCCCAGATTCGAATTAGTACGAATGAAGTTCAGCGCTCCTCAGTGTGATGCTTGCAATCTAGGTGGGAGAATATCCACACTAATCGGCCGAGTGAGCGGCAAGCCATATGACAAATACGATTTCGAGGTTTGTTTTAGCTCGTCCAATTATGTTTTACACGACTGATTGCGAGTAGCCCGAGTCAGACGACGAGTCATCGAGCTCATCAGACATTGATTCTGATGATATCAGTCACAAGTCTTCTGACAAACAATTTTATCTCGGCCGTTTTCTGCGCTGCTCGGACACGAGTTTTCCACGAGTTCAGTCACTGGGAGGTAAGATATCTTCGAAGTATTTTGTTCACTGCTCGACAACTTTGAAACTAGTATCACTTGTATCACTCTTTCCTGGAGCAGATCGACGAAGTTCTCGATGACAATCGTAGTTTTGTCCGAATCGCTTTCGCGGGGGGCGTCAAACCTCCCAAAGATATGCGAGATGCAGATAAAGTGATGGACTGGCTTGATCAGCGTGGGTTAATCGAGTCCGAGTGGCAGAGAGTTAAAGAGTTGATGGATAAAGCCAGGAATCTCGAAATACGCGCAAAGAGAGGAGGCGATCAGGACGACCAGGATATGTAATCTGTATATCAATATTCATTATCTTTGTTCACACTATGATTTGTTACCAAGGCTGTTGTCTACTCGAATCTTATGTACAGTCAGGACTACTCGCATAGGGGCAGCACATGAAATAGGAATGTGTCCCACGGCTTGTCCTTTCCCATCCTCAACTTGTGAACAAACGCGTTCAATGTTCATGTCGTACTCACATTACCAGCCGGGGCAGCATCCAGCGGGGACAACATATCCTTATTATCACCCAGGTGCGCCAGGCGCATATGCTCACCCTCAGACTCCAGGTTATCCAGCCTACCACCAAGGATACGCCACAGGTGTGACTGGCTACGGTGCATGGCCATATCCATACACCTATATCCCACAGCAGCCTGCACAAGCTCCCTCTCAACAGGCAGTGCGGCCCACAGTACAGACAACGGCGCCGCCTGCCGCAACACCCATACCCACTCCAGTCGCTGCCACCCCGAAGACGACCACATTTACGTCTTATACCCCAACCTATGCCCGAGAAACCGCTCCTGCCACCACTACAGGTGGAGGTACTGGGCGCAGTAGAAAACAGGCAAATTTCAAGGGCCTCTTCTCCAAAGAGCGTGCGTTCTATTAGGTCATTGCTATTGGAAAGTTTTCAGCCAGATTTCTCCAGTGAAAAACCTCATGTATGGTTTCGGCGACGATCGTAATCCCGCCAACGACACAGTGAATGTCATGGAAGAAATACTTGTCGAGTTCATTGCAGATGTCGTGCGTGTCTTCGTTTTTTGGTATTGCATTATACAGACATGTGAGTGCCGAAACTCAAACAAACATTACTTGGGGCATAGTGTCAAACTGCTGGTGGTCCACAACGGAAAACACGATTGTCTATTGAAGACCTTCGTCGAGCTTTGTCGAGGTTGGCAGATGCAAAAAAGCTGGCTCGTATGGAAGAATTGTTATTCATGCAGGAGGATATCAAACGTGCTCGGGCCCAGTTCGAGGAATCCGACATCACGCAGTCAAAGGAGTACTAGAGAAATTACTTTAGTAGCGCTGTCTTATTTTCTACATCATTGTTCTACATCTGTATTTTATATCTTGGCATCGCAGACCCACCTACCGATGCCAACATCACACCGCGTCTCCGCTCCCACAACATCTTGCAGGTATGAGGAAGCTGCCGAGAACAACAAGGTAGTGGGGTTTCGCTGAAACCGTTCGCTCCACTTGCCATGAAATGGCGATTGAGGCCGCCATGGTCCGGTTACTCTTCCATTGCATCCGGCTCTTCATCGTTGGCTTGCTCTTCGGCTTCTGCAGAAGACGCTCGTTGGGCCGTACGACCTTGCACACCTAGGGAACGTCAGTGAAACAACACAAACATCCGCGAAATTGCTAACCTCCACTTTGTGCCAATGGCTTGGCGTGCTGTTTCAGCCATTCTTCTGATTCCCAGACTGTTGGAAGGAAGGATTGAGAGGGGGTCGCAGTAACTTGTAGAGATAGCACGTACTAGCTCTATTCCCATCTGGAGGCTGCAAGCCTTTCATAGGCTTAGCTTGGTTGACTTTCAGCACTCTGCCCCGTAACTCATTGAGATCCATGTTGTCGATTGCATCCTGAGCATCTGTAGGAGAAGAGTATGTCACGAATGCGAAACCACGATGTTTGAATTCTACGGATAGTCAGCATGTGAATGACTGTTCATGTTTGTCTACTTGCCTGTCGGCTTTGATGGATTGGCTGGTGCTGGAGGTAGCTGTACTTCAATGATGTCACCTGCGGTTTCGAGGCGTTCAGTGTGAAGTTGTTGCACAACAGAACACCTACCGAAAGCCGAAAAATGCTCGTAGATCACCGTCTCGTCGATATCGTCCCCAATACCCCCAATGAAAATGGTCTTCTTACCCTTGGTGCCTTCTTCCATCGACTACAAACAGTTCAGTGTTGGGCCAAATTGTGATGCTATTCAATTACTTAGTCAGCGGCTTCAGAATCTAACACAAGTAAACAACTCTAAGTAGAAGTGTAAGACAACCGACCATCCGTCTTCCGTCATATCCGAGAATGTCGCTACATTTAATGGCGACGGTCTTCACTTCCTTCATTATACGTCCTTCTTCACAAGCGCTGATGGATATCGATAACATGTCATTTTGGGGATCGCACTCAACTTCCTTGTCACTCTATCATTTCCTTTGGCAGAAACAGGACCAGTCTGTCATAAAGCAAGGGGTGAAATGTCATGCTCCAGATATGGAGGGCTCCGACAGGTCAGTTTATTTCCTTTTTTTTGGTTTTGGAATGATATTGAGGCTAATGCAGGGTGCACCTACTCACCTTCGACGCCATTGATCTATCTGGATGTCCTGGTGCCAAGTTACCAAACGGAGCAACTTCCATGGTCATCCGTTCAGAGTATGAATTACTCTTTGAACACATCTCCGCAATCGAGCGCAATTTCATAGTGCATGGATCGGCAGGTATTGGTAAGTCGAGTTCCTTCCAGAGGCGCTGCTGCTCAATGCAATTAACTATCCTTAGGAAAGACACATTTTTTAGCATATGTCCTCGTCAAGCGACTTCTCGCTCGTCAACCGGTGACGTATCAAATTGACCAACTACACTCATCCGTCATGTGCTTCACCGCGGACGGGTTCTTCACCCTCCCGCAGGAGAACAGCGAGTACCACCCCCTGTTCCAACGCGAAGATGTGTGGCACCTCGTCGACAACACGCATGAAGACCCCACCACGCACCCGAACACCGCACACACCCAGGCATTGATGTGGGGCACGTGCGGCAAGGCCATCTTCACCACATTTTGGCCGGACAGTTTGGGCTTCAAGATCGACTGGTCACCTGGGTATGAAGTTTCTCTTCAGCGGTGGATGAAACCATGTACTTGGGACGAGATCGTTGCGATGAGGTAAAATGTCATGTTGCCATTCTTCATGATGGCTGACCATTTTCCTAAGTGCTTTTACTGCAAACAAGCACGAAAAGCACGATCCAGAGGCTTTGCGGTGGTCTTACACCCATTTCGGGTCCAACGTGCATACCTGCCTGCAAGTGTCTCGCCACCCCAGCCGTGCTAATTATTACCTCAACGAATTGGAGTGCGCTCGCGATAATTTCTGGTTCCAGCATCCCGTATTGCGCGAACATGAAGCCCTATACAGCCGTAATCTTTTCGCCGTACAACCAGGAGATACCCGCACAGAGCCAATGCCCTACCCAGTATCACAGGTTGCCAGTAGGCTCCTCGCAGACGGGATCGCCTCCTTAGACCCCTCCACTGCCAAGGACGCTGTCTGCAGCCTACTTAACTCAGAGGACACCGAGGAGTCAGGCAAGATATTCTATCGTCAGGCTGCGATAGCGCTGATGTCTAGGTTCGGAGGGGTTTTCGAGCTCGGGTGTCCCGACTCAGAGGGGCATTGCAAGCCAGCACACAAAGATCTGAACTTGCATGCCAAGCTTGACCTCGCGGGCAAGGAAGGGCGGGCTATACTGCACTCAAGGTATACATACTCCACCCAAGGCGAACTTGCGGCGCTAGCCGAGAAATATCCGCACGTTCTTCACTCCCCCAAGCATGCGCTCGTGCACCCGGGCATTGACGCGATCATGTTTGACGATAGCACCTCCACAGTCTGGCTTATGCAGGTGACGTATGGATACCCGCGCCGGATATCTCCCCAGGGTCTGCTCTTCCTGCTCAGTACTGCAAGAGGCACCGCCTACGAGCCGTCCCCCATCCGCCCCTGGAATCTCGTATTCATATCACGCGAGCAGGCGACTACAGACTCCCTCCGGCTAAGTGGGTCGATAACGATGCAGTTATTTTACTCTGTATTCTGGGATCCACGCATCAAACCATACATCATGCAACTTCGTGACACGGACAGCTCTTCAACTGATCCGTACGCGCAGTGGGGCTTCCCCTACAAGATACCACGGAAGCACTCGCTCAGTCTCTCACGGCGTCTCGCAAATCGACTGGTGCATCTATTGCACAGGCCTCGGCGGCAAACTGGACTAGACCATGCAGACCAGGTGACTGCGAGGCTTTGGAGTACGATTATACAGACGTCGGGGGTGCCGGGAGCTCAACTACTTGGGGAAATGACGAGCGAGCAGCCAGTTGGCCCCAATGGGTTTCAAATGATTCCTATATTAAGTAACGCAGAGGCAGACTAATGAGTCAATATTGTAGAACTATTGTAACGATGTACACGGTTAACTTGATATTCCAGCATTTATAATCTGCAGCCTGCTGCCCAGCGCGTGTGCAATATCACTGTTAACCACGGTGCACAGCAACACTCCTCAATGGCTTCAAATCGGCTGTTAGTCGGACTCAGAACTGGTCAGTTCAGATAAATTTGCGGCACGTATGGAGTGGACGCGTATGCGTGTGATATGTTGCTGCATAGTATCGTACTGATCGGACTTGTAAATAAATCCGAGATATTGAATTCGAGTGGCCCAGGCAACATACCCAAACCGGTAACTCTCCTCTTGGTAGTGCATTCCCCCAGCTGCCTATCAATTTGCCATCAAAGGTGTTTACCTGACATCTGGCGGCGAGGTCCGCTCGCTTCACTATTCAAATTCACAAAATGGGGCTACTACGAGGTGAAAACACTGCCTAATTAGATGCAGTTACAAGATCGTTCGTTCTTTGTAGACCGGATATTATGGAGCAGGTGTCATATAGTGGACGGATTTGTGGTGAGAAGTCACACCTCCTCTATCGGCCTGAGAAGATACATCCTCGATAATAAAATCATGTTGGCCCTATTCCCTTGCAATCATCGCACGCCTAGAGTTTTGCATCTCTTTTGGCAGTGATTTCCTGTCGCCTGTACTCTTCGACCGTGCCTGTCGAACCGTTCTCCCCGTGAAATACCAATTGACATGCCATATTCCGTTAGCCAGACTCAGCGGACGACCTTGTCTTATATCACCCACGGCATTGATTTTTAATCGCGCGTGCAGGTGCATGCTTCGACACTTCCCTGTGTGTTTTCGTGACAGTTGCAATTTCACATCCTTCACAAAAATTCCGACCCTCCATTATCTGACCATGGCTTCATCCACTGAATGGGACCGTGAATCCATGGCGTCCAGCACGTCCTCGTCTCTATCTTCCTGTGGCGAAGACGAAGTCAACGATCGTGTTTCACCTGACTGGGCGAAATACCGCTGCCATATCGAACGCAGGGGCTACCGTCTGGACACTGTCCGTGATGTAAAAGATTATTATCGGCACCATTGCAGCAAGATAGAGAAGGAAGGCTTGCACGTATATTTGTCCGGCTATCACCGCGTCCTTGCGAGGAGCGACGAAGATGCTCTTTGCAGAGACATTGGTCTGGTACGTCCTACAAGCTATCAGGTGCCATGCGCAATGTCACTGATCAAACAAGCGAGAAGGCCTGTTCAGAGCTACCCGCTGTTCTGATGGGACGAAGGTGATGGTCAAGGCGGTTCATCGGGATAGCAGGGAGCTTGATATCATCCGATATGTGTCTGCGCCAACTCAACGACGGGATCCCACGAATCACTGTATACGTGAGCTTCCCAAACAGACAGTTGAACTCTATTTACCATCCAAAAAATCTAGCTATTCTTGACCTCATTGATGCGCCCCAGGATGATCTATGTTTCATCGTTATGGAGGAATGGTCGGCAAATATGTTCCCAGAGGCTCCAGTTAGTCTCGGTTGCCTCATGGAATCTTTGCGCCATTGCATAGAGGTACGGAGAGGATTTATCGAGTTTGTATACCATATTAAAAGGTTCCCTCCAGCATATTGCATTCATGCATCGTCATCGCATTGCGCACTTGGATATCTCGCCGCGCAACTTCCTCACGGATTATAACGGGCGTTATGCTTGCATAGATTACGAACTCAGTCGCCGAGTAGATGAGGTATCTTGTCCGCGGATATTATACTCTCGGGGGTCGGAGATCCCACCAGAAGCTGAACATGGTCAGCTAAGTAACCCATTTATGATCGATGTATGGGCACTAGGGGTTCTAATTTTCAGAGCGTGCGAGGTTCGTACTATAGCAGACTACTTCCCACAGAGCTATGACTGATGCATGACTCAAATAGCTCGCTGAATTTCACGTGCCCGAACTTATGCGTCTAGCCGAACCGATGCTTCATGAAAACCCTGACAAGCGGCCATCGGCTGCTTCAGTACTAAAAGAATTTCAACGAATACAAGCGACGATGAGGAAAACACTACATGGCCGTCACATCGCTCCATAGCATACTATTCTTTAGCCACGTATTTGGAACTCAACATCAGACTTGGCATTGGACATTGTCATATGTAGGGCAGGGGTAATCGTTGCAAGTATGTATGTAGTACTGACATATAAGCACTTGAAGATCCATCTCTACGCTCATGATACCGGATCGTCACTTCCACTAGCTGCCACTGCTTCCTCCTCCAATTTCTGTCTTTTCCTTGCTAGGTAACGTGCACGGATATTCTGCACGTCCTCTTGTGTGTTCCGTTTTAATATTGTTCGCTGTCTTGCCTCTTCCTCATGTGCCTCTTTCTGTTTTGACACTCGTTCACGCTCCTCTTCTAGTTGTTGCCTGATTTCCCGTGCGCGGCGTTCATTGATTTCTCTCCGGCTTGCTGCTGTTCCTACTGCCTGGTGAGCTTGAACCTCACTCGTGCTGGCAGTTTGTTTCGTGATCTGGAGCCCAAGTCGTCGAGTGTTGGGAGCAGACAAATTTAAACCAGCAGAGAGCAATTCTCGCTTGTCGACGATTTGATTGTCGTCGTTGAGCTCAACATCTTTGCCTCGTTCTTTAGCTAATTGCGCAAGCTCAAGGTCCGATTTTGGTGTCAGTTCCGGAGGCTTGGTGATAGTTAGATTCGGAGCAGGCCCTCGTGGACCAATGACGCGTTTAGTCTCTGTTGCTGCCACTGCCTCTTCGTGCTGTTGCTCTGAGTCTTCCAATAGTTTACGGTAGAAATGGGCCATGCCGGTTGGTGCTCCCTTCTGTTTCTTTTTCTCAGCCTCTAAAGCAGAAATAAGCAATAAGTTGTTATCGTCACAATTTAACATACCTTCTCTCTGTCGTTCTTCTTCCTCCGCTCTCCGGACCTCAGCCATTTGATCCTTGTATGCCTGAGTGACGAAGGCTTCCTTGTCAGCGAATTCATCTCCTTCGGCTTCCCGTTCTCGTTGCATCATCTTGTCCTCTGCACGCAAATGATCCAGACGTCGTGTGGCAGCTGACGTTAAAAGGCCTTCGATGTACTTGGGCTATACAACATTATTGGCAAAATAGTTCCAGCGGCACGGATGATCAGAAGCGCGCCTTTCGTCGTTTGGAATCAACCTCTTTGGCCTCTTTCTGCTTGAGCTTGACCTCTTGCATCCTATCCCAAACTTCGTCATACTGATACACCGTAGCATCAACCTTCATCTCCTGCTCCATGCGTTTCCTCGCGGCCTTCGAAGATTCGACATTCTGAGCTAATAGCTTTTTATTCGCTGCTGCACCCTTATTGTCGGACAGAGTGGGAGCAGCATCAACAGGGTCATCATCACCGAGGGATGCAAACGCTGCCGGTTTCTTGAGAGGTGGTGCTGCACCGACTGGCTTTGCAGTCTTGGGGAGGGAAAAGGAGAGCTTCATGAAATTACGGGTTATGTAAGCCTGTTAGAGCTGTTTGATAAACTTGTTTCTTCGACTTGAATGCAACGTTATGGCTCAAAGTGCGAACGACCGCCGGCGGATAAATGGACCAGAAGAAAGCTTTCCGCCCGTATTCGACGACGACGATGAGGATATCAAATTGAAAACGCAGCGCAGTCGGGCACCTGGTGATATCAGGCCGATATGTCGGTGCCTTCTCTGTGCTTTTGTCAAATGATGCTGAATTTTTGACAGTCCTACAGCCAGGTCTTATAAGCCAGGCCAATGGATCTGCATACATCGAGACAGAAAAAACCAAAATTGCATGCGCTGTGTACGTTCGAGGTTACTTTAGCCTTCATCAGGCGCACCTTTTCTAAGTACCGTCATAGGTACGGACCACGGCAATCTAAAACTACTACCTACAGCGAAAAGGGCCGGCTGAATGTTGAAGTCAAGTTCGCTCCTTTCTCGTGTACGCGTCGAAGGGCGCCGATGCGCGTAAGTGATTCCTGAACTATGCACATAGCGTATTGAATGTCATAGGCTCCTCAAGGACGCCGAGGATAGATCTATTGGTATAGCAATACATCAAGCAATTGTATCATCAATACGCCTGGAGTTATTCCCAAAGTCGACCATCGATGTTTTCATCACGATCATCGAGAACGATGGAATTGAAGGCTGTATCGCATCTGGATCATTGGCTGCAAGTGCTGCACTTGCTGATGCTGGAATCGAAATGTTGGGACTCGTTGCGTCATGCTCCGCTGTGCGTGATTTTATTGTCCGTTTATAATTAAGTTTTTATCTGGTTTTTCAGGCTATTGTCGGAGATGACATTCAACTTGATCCAAGCGAAGCTGAAGCACGGGCATCCAGCGGTACTGTGATACTTGCTTGTATGCCGGCTTTGGATAGTATCACCAGTATCTGGCAGTCGGGACAGATGACCGCCGACTTGTCTTTGAAGGTAATACTTTCCGACTGACCGCAGTAAACGCTAACGAGGTACCACAGTGCATGGAACAATGTCATGAGCGGTGTATTGATATTCATTCGATAGTCGCGCAATCTCTACTCGAACACAGGAGAACCGATTGACGTGGCCTTCGGCCTCCGAGGTGCATTGTCAGCGTTGGCCGTTGTACATGATCTTGGAACTTGTTTGTCCCATGTAGTAATTAACCGAGGACATACAAGTGTGAACTAGTACACCCTCGTGGTGGATTTTTTCTACATGAGGTCCTTGACGCGCAATTATCTTCGGCACTGTGTTATAAAGTGTCGAGCTCAAGGACTTATTTTCATTACGTATGAGGTATACACGCGCCTACGTACACGAGTTAATCGTTTATGTCACGAGTTCCGCTCGTGGTCCTTTCTCAACCGCGACGAAAAGTTTCACGACTTGTTTTGGACAGCAGTTTTTTCTGTTCACGCTCACTAACAACCGAACCCTCGTTTGATGCCGGAATTGTTTTACGCCAATGATTTTTCCCCGCCTGCCTCTCTTAAATCATCGGAGGAGCACCAACGTCTCACCCTCGCTTCAGCACGCGATTCTAATGACTCGTCAGACTCACTACGCAACCTGGAGCTCTCGGAGGGACCTATGTCAGAGAGAGGGCGGTCAAGATCCTACTCAATAACGGGCTTTGACTTCCAGCGCGACCTATTACCCTTGAGCTCGAGTTTGAGTGAACCGGATACCGGGGAAAGTGGGGAGAAGAACATCACATTGCTACATGGTGAGTTATCCTCCCGGCAGTCTGGCGTGATACAAGTGGTTCACAGTGCACAAAAGGTATCGGACTCATCGTCGGCCTTCAAGTCAGTTCATCTATCTAATTCCATACTCGCATGCCTGATACATTATCTGGAAGATTGGATCAGGAATCTTGTGAGTAGACCAACCAGACAGGCTCAAACCCCAATTTGCAACTGTTAGTTAGCTCCTCACCAGGAGTTGTAGTTGCGAATACCCAGAGCGTGGGGGCTAGCTTGGTTGTATGGCTTATCTCTGGATTGCTTGGTTGGACGGGAGCCAGCAGCTTTGCAGAACTAGGGTTCGTCTATCCCACGTATCATGTTACTGGCGATCGATAAATACCTTGGTTTATAGCTCCAGTATACCACTGAACGGTGGAGCCCAAGCCTATCTCGCGTATGCGTACGGACCACTTCTATCCTACCTGTTTACTTGGACAGCGATCTCAGCACTAAAACCTGGTTTGTATTCTACCTGACTTTCAACGAGATTTGTAGATATACATTCAGTTACATTACAGGTGGAAATGCGGTCATTAGCCTCATCTTTGCTGAATACCTGAACCGGCTCGTATGGAACGCTGCTCAGGACGAGGTAGCACCAGATGACATTCCCCAATGGGCCAACAAAGTTACTGCGGTAGCAGCAGTACTTGTCGTCGCCATGATTTGTGCAGCTACTCGAAATTTGGGCACTAGGGCTTCTGTGGTGTTCACCACGGTGAAGGTGTGTTTGTTGCTAGTTGATTTCGTTTCCATCTAATAACGGTCCGACCTCAGGTCGCCGCCCTCGTGAGTGTTATGATACGAGTACTGAGTTGAGGCTCATTCCTTGCCAGATATTTGTGATCGTACTAGGGATGATACAACTTATCCGGGGAAAAGCATCAGAATCATTCTCTCGGCCACTATTCGAGGACTCGAGCCATAGTCCATCGGCATATTCATTAGCTCTTTACTCTGGGCTGTGGGCATTCGATGGATGGGATCAGGCCAACTATGTTGGAGGTGAGATGAAAAACCCCAGTAAAGATATCCCAAGAGCTATACATTCAAGTATGGCAGTTGTGATGGTAAGCAACAGAAGTACCATTTGAGATGTATAAACATTGAGCCCTTTTAGACACTTTTCTTATTAGCGAATGTGTCATATTTCGTGGTGCTAGACAAAGTTACTGTTGGTGTGAGCAACACGGTTGCACTGGACTTTGGTCGAGCGCTCTTTGGACCAGCAGGCGGTGTAGTTTTTGCTGTGATGGTTGCCATCTCTTGCTTCGGAGCATTGAATGGTAGATATTCCCTGTATAGTTTCTAGGTACTCGTGCTTATATCCTACAGGGAGTACCTTCACTTCTGCGCGCCTCATCTGCGTTGCCGGACGAGAGGGATATCTTCCTGCAATGTTTGGTCGCCTGAACAAGTCGAGGCAAACACCAGTCAATGCGATCCTCCTCCAAGCGGCCATCACCATTGTGTTCATCGTCATAGGAGGTGGATTTCGGTCGCTGATCAACTTCTCCGTTGTGGCGTCCTGGTCATTTTATTTCCTTACTGTACGTTTGGGTGCTCCACAGACGTCATGATCTGATTTCTTTTCTTAAAGGTTCTGGGCCTTGTCATACTTCGTGTGAAGGAACCAATGCTAGAAAGGTGAGTCGTCAGAACCTACTGTGCTACAAAGTTAAAGTTAACTTTGAGATCAGACCTTATAAAGCATGGATTGTAACCCCGTTGGTGTTTTGTGCTGTAAGGTTTATAATTACATCTAGGTGGACTCATTGACTATGACACATAATAACAGGTTGCGCTATTTTTGTTATGCATGCCAATTATCGCAGCACCGCTAGAAGCCATGGCGGTTCTAGGTGATTGATGAGTCCTCCTATACCCACTGTGGAACTTCTGATTTATCATCCGCAGGCTTCGTGTTGGCAGGAATACCGGTGTATTATTTGACGAATCCGAATCGTGATCAAGCCAGTTTACCTGCCTTTCTTGGTGAGTCATTAGTTTTCCGCTGACATCAGATGATGACATCGATGTGTTCTTCAGGCTTTTTCAGTACTTGCGTTGCTAGAATTAGAGGCCAACCGTCTGCGGGCACGGGATGGGTGGCGGTGTCCACGGAGGGTGACGAGGTGGAGATGCTTGATAACCGGACTTCACGCGCACGTTTGAACAGTTAATGATCAGTGATGACTAGACTAGTGGTGCACGATCTTAGATATTGACCGTCGCTTCTTGTGTGTACACGACAAATACCTGTTTCAGTACTAGGTAACGCTGGCTATGCAAGTACTGCGCGCTGTAAGTCGTATTGCGTAAGATTTAGGACAAATGTCGGCAAGCTCCGTCCTAGCTGGCGACAACAGCGATTGCGCGATTTGGACCCGTCGTATATAAGAGCCTTTGTTGTGAAACAGGGACCTACACATCAAGTTATCATTGACGAGCCTTCATCTTCTTATTTATCTAATTTTATAACATCAAGTATGGCAAGCGAGCACAAGTATCAGCTCAATGTTAAGGTCTGTTGCGGATAGAGATCATCTGTTTGGTCTGATACGAACCGTCGATTGCATAGATGACATGCGGAGGTTGTTCTGGTGCTGTTACTCGTGTACTGACCAAGGCGCAGCAGGAAGGTGCGATGGTTATGATGAATGATTAGTGCAAGGCTGACGGAATGAAACACGTCGATAGGATCAGTTTCAAGTTTTGATGTTAACTTGGAGACCCAGCTCGTGAACGTTCAGGGTCCTATCGAAGAAGAGGTTCTGGTGGAGAAGATCCGGAAGACAGGTAAACAGGTAAGGCCTAGATAATGGTTTTCTGGACGTCGGATAACTTATCGAGTGGTATGGCTTCTAGATTATCTCGGTCACATCTCAGGATGAGGCCGAAGCAGCGGCGGTTTGAGATTTCATGCCCGTCACTTATTCATCTTGAGGCTTCTGGATAATTCCCCTGGCGACTGTTAAATATATAGAATCTAAGCTATTTTCAATGGCGCGTGATTATTTAAATCTGAATTCGAATACTTAAATCCTTATGCATATGCATATGTGGTTACGTCTACGGGTGGTGCATCAGGGTCGTGCACGTGGGATGGTGAACGGACTCGGATTACAACGATGACGTGACAGCTTGCGGGTGGCCGGAACCGTGTGTGTGGTTTGAACCGATAGGAAGCAAGTCTCTGAAAGACTATCATCAGGCTTCTGACCGAGTGAATACCTGGTCTTACTTTCACTAACATGATCCACACTCCTTTCCTGTAAATTTGGTCTGATCTCAGTCTTACCCGGTTCCGAGCCAGTTCAATCGACCTTGGCCTCATCTTTCTTTAATTCTTCTCTCGTTTCACTCCCAACTTTTCCCTCCACGACTAGTACTGGTCTTGCCTACGAATTTGCGAATTCGGACGAGCCTAGAGCCAACTTCATGTCCTCGTCTAGTGCTGCGACGCCGTCCAGCACCGCGTTTCTTACTGATCCTACCACCCCTGCATTCTCGGACGACCTTGAATGGATCACGGCATATCTTACAATTCATTCCCTTAGTGTCCCAAGCAGACGCTATTCCTTTCTTATCTGGATTGTTGTTGTTATCTTTTTTCTTGCCTTTGCCATCCTTCACTGGACAGGTTCAAGGGGTGGTTTTCTCGGAGCCCATTGGACAAAATGGACTCTCCGCCGTCGAACTTGGAGAAAAAAGCATAACTTCGCACTTGCTCTCAAAAGGAATGATCCACACTGCCAGCCCAGTTCTTTACCTTCCAATGCCCAACTTCTTTGTTTGGCACTGCTATTGGGAGGATCCCTAGCCCTTGCATTTGTAGGTCCAGACTATATTTCTCCCACTCTCAAAGTGTGGCAAGTTCGCCGAGACATTGCCTTCGTGGAGCCCCATCGTCGTAGTTTTATTCCGAACATCGCTCCCTATTTGCCACTTCAACCACAATATACTATCGATAAAGCATGGTGGACTTCGTCAGCACGCGTAGGGCAAATTGCGTTCGCTCTCTTTCCTCTTTGCGTGCTTTTCGCCCTCAAATCGCCCCCTTTCGCAATCTTTGCCATTCCTTTCATGATACAGTTCTTCTTCGACAAACTCGCTTGGCTTCACCGTTGGACAGGCAGGCTAATATGGTTTCTTACATCAATTCATGTTGCGCTCTGGAGCGTCCAGCTCGTTCGAGATCACAATCCCAGTACTGGCCGTGTTGCATACGTATACGCTTTCTCCTACATGCCCTTCATCTTTGGCTGGATCGTGAGTCGGATTTCTCTTTCATGCTGATAGACTGACAAACTGGCTAGGCGTTTGCATTGCTGACGTTCATAATCGTTCTGTCCATGCACTCCATTCGAAGAAACTTCTATGAAGCTTTCTATTTCTTGCATGTTTTGCTTGTCCCACTCATGCTCGCCTGTGCTGCATTCCATCATCCCACAATCTGGTGGTGGTGTTGGGGTGCTCTCGCAATTTGGGCAGGTGAACGCCTTTGGCGGTGGACTTGGTGGTTTGCCACCAATGCCCCCATTCTGAGTAGCAGTTCGTCACGGCCGGCGATGTCTAAGCGTTCACATCCAACAATAACTGCTGCTGACACGCTCGAGATGGAACATCTTCGCCTCCAGTCACTGCATACACTCGCTGATTCACAAACCTTCCGTTTACCGAGCCCTTTGAACCCATATTATCAGTCCGACAAACAAACAGTTAGTCCACATTCATCATTGCTGCCCGCTCGTCTGCCCGCAGGATCGCTCGAACTGGACACTGCTAGGTCCGCGATACGCCATCCCTCTCCCTATATTCCACCTCCAGGGTATGCCCACGCTGAGCTTCTCTCCGGCCATACAGTGCGGCTGCGTCTTATAACTCCCGGGTTCCTACCGTGGGCTCCGGGTCAACATTTCCTCATCAAAATCCCCAGCGTCTCCCGATTCACCACTCATCCTTTTACCTGTGCCTCCGTATGTGACTATGAGTCACCTACAGATGAGGGCCGCTTGATCGTTATGCTCATCCGTACAAGAACCGGCTGGACTCAAGATTTATGGGATTTAGTCTTGCGCATGACCGCTGAGCGGTCACCTGGTGACATCCCAATTTCCGCCGCAGAAAATCTTCCCAAGAATGGTGTCTTGTTGAGGACATATGTGGACGGGCCTTTTGGTAGTTCGATTCGCGCTCGTTGGGGCAACTACTCAACAGTGCTGATCATCGCTGGTGGCTCCGGAGTGAGTTTCGGCTTGTCTGTGCTGCAGTACATTTGTATGTGCCTTTCTGGTCGGGACGGGAAGAATCTGGGTGGCCATCCTGGAGGTTGGGGGAAGAAATCCTTCCTGACCAAACGCGTACGCTTCGTATGGCTTGTCCGTGAATATTGTAAGTACTCGAAAACTTTCACTCGATCATTACAAACTAACGTCACCCTTGCGTAGCTCATATACAGTGGTGTGCTTCTATTGTTCGCCGCTGTCTTTCCTTGGTACCATCGTCTGCATTGCAAATCGACATCTTTATTACCAACTTCAAACCCATCGCTCTCAAGGAATCCGATCTGCGTCCTTTGCAGGTTCCTCAGCGGTCGTTCTTTACTTCTGAACCTGTTCATTTTAATGAACCGCAGCTTCCTCACCCATCCTTTGCACGTGGCGGTCCCACATTCCTCCGCTCTGATTCCAGGCGACTCCACCGATAATTACGAGAGTGATATTGACCTGAGCTACTACATTGGAGAACCTGGAGACCCAGTGGCACCAGAGGAGGATATTGGCTTGGCACATGAGTCTCACATGCTCAAGCTGACCAACTTCGATGGTGACGATGACACTGCTCTGCCAGGGGAACACAATTTATCCCGCAAGGTGAAGAAGGAAGGCAAGTTGCGACGAGCTTGGTCGCGGAATGTCGCCAATGAGAAAACGGTGCGGTTGCTGGAGCCTCGCAGTGGTCCTAGCAGCATGCGGCTCGCTGCAAATAGAGTGTCTGCTATCTCTGCCACCTCAGGACTTTCTACAGACAGACTACTCCCATTATCCATAAATTCGGACACGAGGTGGTCTGAGATATCAATGGACACCTTCGCGTCTCCGACCTCCATGTACGGCGATTCGCCGACACGCGGTCAGCAGTCGACATACCCCGAGTCTATCTTCTCTCTCGGTGGTCGTCCTTCTCCAGTGGGTCGTGCAGGGATGTCAACATCCAGGTATTCCGCTGGTAGCTGGGAAGGCAAATCAGATGCTGGCAGTTCCCAGGGTTTGTTACGGTCTTCCGCACCCGATGGCTCGCTCGATCCGGTCCAGTTTGCCATCAGCGAGGAAGAAGCGCTGGATATCAATGTTGTGGCAGAGCATGCACGACCTGGTAAACCCAAGCTTGACAGGATTCTTGCAGATGAAGTCGAGCAGTCGGAAGGTCCTGTGATGGTTGCTTGTAAGGTCTATCTCTCACTGGTTTTTCAATAGTGCTCATTTGTTCTGCCCAGGTTGTGGTCCCACCTCACTCAATGCGATGGTTCGCAAAATCATTGCCGCGCAGGTCGACCCTGGGCGGGTGTGGCGAGGTGATATGCGCGGGTCGATATCACTCGTTTCCGAGGAATTTGAGTATTGACGATTCACCGGGACATTTTGTTTCACTCTTCATCCGCACATTCCCTGCATTCTTCGAATATCGATTATTCATCGGGATATTTCATTGCACTCTTCATCGAACCATATTGTTACCACCACGTATCTGATATTTTTCCCGAACATTTTCCTCTCACAATTTGCATACCGTCCTAGCATCGTTATCGTCGCTGTCCGGACATAAGTCCACTAGAATCATTTGCCATTGTATTCTTCGGTGTGTCCGCCGAAGTACGGATGAACCTATCAGTTAGATACTCCTGTTGACTGACGTCTAACCGCAGTTCAAGTCGGCTGATGAAACGTGCCAGAACGCTTTATACTGGTGGCTTAACGATTCCCTGGCTGATCTTGTAATAGACTGTCGACGTGTCTTCTGAGGTAATGGCCACATAAATCTCTGAGGGTGTAGGATCAAGACTGGTAAAAGCGGCGCGAAGCCTAGGGATGCGATGAATACAAGTAGATCCAGAGGTGGTCTACCGGACGTACCACGAAGTAGAAATTGACTCAGACAACGAGCAGGGTACTACAACGCAGATGGATGGTCCTCGGTCCGTGTCCTGTCGTGCACATCAATGAATTTCATACGCTGGCACGAGAAGATGCTAACAGGAGTTGGCCGTTGACCTTTGATCGCGGCTCTTTTACAAGCTGGAAGGTCGAGAACTTCGACATCGGTCCATCTTTGCGCTGAAAAGGAGTCTACGTCAACCCGAATAGATCATGACCTACAAAGGCCACGTACCGAGAGTTAGGTCATTGTATACCTGGAATAGCGCGCCTCCGGTTGCAGGATATTTTGCGAGCAGCTGCGAAAGCACCGGGTACTATACGCAAAAAAGGGGTGAGGGCCCAGTCTTTTAGTGAACAACTTGTCACTTGCAGATGGATGATTCTGCATGAGAGCAGATAATGGACAAGGTCACCTTGAACGTAAAAAATGACGCGAATTACGTGGTAGTACTATGGAAGTCTGCATCAAGTCATTATGAGTTGACTCGGACCAGATATCATCTTGGTAATCGCTAGCATCGTGAGGTCTCTACTCCTCGCTGTCAGCAGGCCTCTGCGCCTCGGATTCAGCACTTCAAATCGTCGTCCACAACGGTCTGCATTGCAGATATCACGCAAGAAAAGCACCATGTCAGACGCTGGTGGCTCCGAGTCCATCACGGTGCCCGAAGGGTTCACGCTCCACACAGAAAACACGTCTCACATCCTGATTTCATCGAAGGAGGAGGCATTTCTGAATCCAGTTCAGGAATTCAATCGGGATCTCAGCGTCGCGTGTATCAGAGTATGGAGCGAAGAGCTAAATAGAGAGAAGGAAGCAAAGTGGATGCGGTCTCAGGAGAGACGAGCGAAACGGGAGGGGGGAGGAGAAGCGGAGACGGGCCAGCAGAAAGAGCAGAAGAAGGCAAAAAGTGAGCATCTTTCGTGAGGTATTCAAAGTCTTGTTGATCAATGAATGATTGTCACAAGCGGCATCTACTGAGCCGAGCAATGGTCCGGGTGATGATTTACCTGGAGATGTTCCTACCGCTGGAAGTACCTCAGAAGGCAACAAACGAGAGGTACTAGTGGGTTGCTTCATATTCTGCAATGATAGTACTGAATCACCGTCCAAAGTACCGACCCCATAGGTTCGTGCTACTGGAAGCATTGTCGGCAACTGGTCTTCGGTCTATCCGCTATGCAAAAGAGATTCCCCTTGTGAGGTTTGTGTCCGAGTTTTGTGGGCAAATATACATTTCATCGCCCTTCAAGATTCGTCATTGCAAATGACCTGTCTGCATCTGCCACGGCCGCCATGAAGAGAAATGTAGAACTCAATGGTCTTGGACCCTCATCTCTTGATCCAGCTGACAGTGCGTCGTCGTCCGTGGTATCGGAGCACCAGCACCTCCCTAATCGCGGGAAGGTGAGAATTAACGAGGGCGATGCATGGTAAGTTCTTGGTCCTCTAGCTATGGTTTTGTCTGAGGTACATACTACGTAAGTGCACTCATGTACAACCATCGCACAGAGAAGACACGTGTCGATGTTGTCGACCTCGATCCATATGGCACTGCTGCTCCTTTTATTGATGGAGCCGTTCAGTGCGTCAACGACGGAGGTAAGTAAATTTAAATGCATACCTCGCTCCGAAAACTCATTAGGCGCCTCACAGGACTCTTGTGTGTCACATGCACAGACCTGTCAGTCTTGGCGACGACAAATTACCATGAGAAGTGGTACGTACTTGAGCCCGCATGTAACTGGTTTGAATGTTCATCGGATGGCCGTAAAGTTTCTCAAATTACGGTGGTATTCCTGTCAAAGCGGAATACTGCCACGAGGCAGTATGGGCGTCCCCATGATCAAGTCAACCTTCACTGACGTCCCTGAAGGCTCTCAGACTCGTGTTAAACACACTGTCGACTTCCGCAGGCCGATACGGAAGATACATTGAGCCGCTTCTATGTCTGTCTATCGATTTTTACGTTCGCCTCTTCGTACGCGTTCACTCTGCGCCCATAGAAGTAAAAAAGACTGCTAGGTAAGTTACGTTATACAATGATGTTGACACATTGTTCATGCACTTTGTTCCTAGCAAAACAGCAATGTATTACATATGCCAAGGTTGCCAGTCATTTTACGAGCAGCCGTTGGGCCGGACCGTGGAAAAAGTTCACGAACGATCAGGTAATGTAAACCTCCAGTTCAAGACTCAAGCCGGTCCTCCTGTCCCACAAAAATGCACAGAGTGTGGTTCCACGTTGCATGTGGGTACTCCCAGTCGGATCAAGGGTTAGATGTTGTATTCAAGTTGTGGCAGGTTGCTGGCCCAATGTGGTCCGGTTCATTACACAACAACAGTTTCATTTCACAAGTGCTTGAGCACTTGGAGAACAACCAAGATAAATATAGTACAGCGGTCCGCATGAAAGGGATGCTGACAGTGGCCAATGAGGTACGATCAGAGAATTGTATTTAGATCACAAACAGACGACTGATCTCCGGCCTTTTAGGAGTTACACGTCCCATTCTACTTTACCCCATCCCGAATAGCTGGCTTCTTCCACTCAGTTTGTCCCCCTTTGGATGATGTGGCGTACGTCGTTATCTCTGAGATTGAAAACACCCATGCACATGCGCTGAAACATCATTTTAGGTCTGCTCTTCTCAACGCCGGTCACACCGTATCGCGTTCACATGCTTTACCAGGCTCTTTGAAGACTGGCGCAACACGTCAAGATGTGCATGATGTCTTTAGGTCTTGGGTGAAGAAGCACCCCGTGAGAATGGACAAGGTATCTGAAACCTCTCTCGCGAGGCAATTACTCGCAAAGGAAGCAAGGTAAGCGTTAGTCTGAGAAACGGACTCTATCAGCTGATCACAATCTGTAGGACGGAGGCCAATTTCACCAGACACCCTCGATCAGTCACGCAAGCGTCAAAAGTAAAACTAGTCCGCTACCAGCAGAACCCAGCTCCCAATTGGGGCCCCGGTACGAAAGCAGACTCCGGTACGAAACGTAAACGCGAAGAGGAAAATGAATAGCGTAAAAATCTAGCCTGTACCCATCGGTACAGCAAATATGCATTGTAACAAGGTACATGTGTGTGCGTGTATGGTAATGATAATAACGTTAAGTGACATCCGAATAGAGAGGGGTATCATGACGATATCTCGATAGTAGGAATAGACTTGAGTGCTGCATTCTTATTCGAAAATCCTGCGTGCTTCTTGACGGCAACCCAAGGGTGCTGAAGCAGCTCACCAGCGCTTGGACGAGCTGAATGGTTGAGATCAAAAGTCTTGGTAAGGAAATCCTGGGCCTCTGAAGAAATATCCGATGGTATAGTAGGTTTGGCAGATTGACCGATCTGCAAAAATCCATCAGAACACGACCAACCCCAAAAGAAACTACCAACCTTGAAAATCGCCTGCATCTGTGTCAATTGCGCCCATGGATGTTCCCCGGTCAACATCTCGACAACCAAGCATCCCACACTCCATATATCGGCAGCCGATGTATGAGCGGTTTGCTTTACGACCTCAGGTGCCATCCAGAAAACCGAGCCTTGTAATGATGGTCGGTTCATTCTTTTTCCTGTGAGAAGGTCTTACAAACACAAACACCACGCATGTCAACGGGACATCACGATGCCGAGATGAAACGGCCATGCACTCACTGCCGTCAACTTTCTTTGAAATACCAAAGTCTGAAATTTTGATGCCGCCTTTGTTGTCAACGAGGATGTTGGCACCTTTAATATCGCGATGTATGATGTCGCGTTCGTGGAGATAGTTGAGGCCTTGCAAAATCTGTCGTACAAAGTTCTTGACGAGAGGTTCTTCAAAAGCGCCGTAGCTACGCAACAACGCAGTGACAGAACCTCCAGGAACATATTCCAGAAAGATGTTGAGAAAATCATCATCGACCGAGGAATCTTTATTTGGTCCCAGGGTGAGTTTTTTCATCATTATTTGAAATGGCGTGGAATGCGCGGACTTACAGAGGTATTGGACGATATTTGGGTGGGATAGATCTTTGAGAAGGTCGATCTCTCGCTCTAGAGCGCTGAGCATACTCTTCTTCCGCTCTTCGTTTGGAGCTGAACCCCTTGGCAGCTCGACTTGCTTCACAGCCATCAGGAGACCGTTTACAGCATCCATCCCGAGATAGACTTTCCCAAATGACCCTGCGCCAATGAGTGCGCCTTTAATCCACTTGCCTGAAATAACTCAAGTTATCGCGCATACATACGAGATTATTTTGAACTTACCACCGGAGGAGTTCATAGCCTGACCAGTCTCGTCTTCCTCCTCAACAACCTCACACTCATCATCTTCATCTTCATCATCGTCCTCAAGCACGGCATCGGCCTCTGAAAGACTGATGACATCATCAATATCAGGCTCCACTTTCGTCCAGTCTTCAGCGCCCTCAACACCCATATCAACCGCCATACTCTGTCTCCGATTCTCTACTTCAGCAGTGATCTCATCCACGGTCAATAAACTGGCAGTATCCGACCGATCACGCTTGCTCCTCAACTCAGTCATGAAACTCATCCGTTTAGATGCATTCGAGTTCGACCTCGGACGGAGGGGACCTGTAAGATCTTCCATAGATTCTGAAAGCGATATCGAAGGGAAGGTCACAGGAGGGAGTAATTGCGGTTTCGAATCGAACGAAGAGAGCTTCTCAACGTCATCTCCAGTCAGGATCACCGATCGTCCGTCTTCAGTGGATATTGATACTCGTGGAGGGTCCTCCCCAATCGAAGGTGCCGCCAAAGACCGGGTGTCTGGTATCGTCGAACTAGTAGAGATGGTAGAGTTTCGTTTGGAAGATATCGTTCGTGAGGGTGACATTGAGCGCTGTACTGAACCTTGCGTACTGGTGCTGAATCGCGAAGGAAGAGGTGGAGTGAGGGACATCGTACTGTTCCTCTTCTCCCCACTTACGCTCGAAGCCCGGAGCATCATGCTATGCCGTGCATTCCGCAACATTTTCCTGTCTGTGAACGGGAAGTATTCCGTCAGGTGCGTGGTGATCAACTCGCTCGGCGGACGCTGGCCGAAGAAGTTGCGTAACTTTGAAGGCTTCTTGGCGGAATTTACGGATGGGAGTGGGTGTTTCGGCTGGCCATGGGTAGGCGATGCGCTAGGGTCGAGAGCTTTTTCCGGGTCGCGCACGCCAAGGCCGCTGAGGACGCTGATCGTACTTGCCCGTTTGATCGCGCGTGCTTTCTGGCCCTGCGAATCATCAATGTTTAGAATCATGTCAGCATCAGGCTCGTGATCGGATTCAGACGGTCTTGGTTGAATGTTGGGAGAAGTGGGACTGATGTTCCTTGGAGGGTTCTCTCCGAATATTCGCTGCAGATCCTTGGAACGTTTTGTGCGGCCGCTTTTCCGGAGCGTTAGGCCGCGTCCTTTGACTGGTTCGTCGGAGGAGCTATGGCATACTGCTAAGAGTTCTGCTTCGGAGAGTGGTTTGCCTGTCCATAAATGTCAGATTTCAAAACTTTTTAAAAAGAAGAATGAATCAAACCCGAGTCGTTGGTCTCGTCCCACTCGAGATATACGGACCACCCGTCTACGCTGAGTCCACCATCATCCGTCTCGACGCGGCTTATGCCGTCGTTCCTCCGGGACGAGCCCACCTTGTCAGCTTTCTTGAGTACCTTTTCCATCACCTCTATGCCGCCCGCACAATCAGCGACATCAACGGTGTAAGACCGCTGTTCTTCTGGCATGGAAAATCTAACCAGTTTACGACGTGGGGTATCCAATGAGGTATTATGAGCAGGAGGGTTGAAGGGACCGCGTCCGACTGCGAATGAAGGGGGTGACGATGATCCTGATGACGAACTTGATGTTTGCCCCTGGAACGACTCCACGATTGGGGAAAGCGCCGACCCGTTCTGAGCGGGGGCCTGTAAAGATGCAGGGGCTTGTACAGACGCATATGGATGGGTACTCGTTCCGGTCGTGGAAGGTCTAGGAGGAAGTTTGGGATTGGTGGGGGGAGGGGCAAGAGGGGAAGGAAGACCATTGAAAGAGATGTTCCTGTTGTGAGCGAGGTTGATAGAACGTGGGGATGGTCGCGACGCCAGGGGAGAGGGTGATTTGATTGGGGACGGACCTGACCGGGGATCTGCGGGGAGGCCAAAGGGCCAGCTGTTGGATTGAGTTGGGGTCGTGAGCGTGTTGGAGGTGGGTGCTGGTGGGAGGGGTGAGTTGGCATAGTTGGTTGCGTCTGGTTGGTTTGGGGTGCGGGTGCGTGGGCCGGTGACGGGATGGAGAGTGCGGGAGATTACGCGTGGGGGTTGAGGTGGTTGACCCCTTGGTACGGGAGGAAGAGGTGGCAAGGAGGGGCGGGGAGTGTAGCTGTTTGGCGTGGTGGACTGTGGTGGCTGGCCGATTTGGGGGAGTGGGCGTATGGTTGGAGGGTTACGTATGTCGCCAGACTGAGGTTCTCGAATGATGCGGGGAAGATCAGGGCGTCCTGGACCAGGAGACAGGACCAATGGAGCAGGTCTGTTGCTATCGAGACGCTTATGGGTGCGGGAAGATGGAGATGAGTCTCTAGAACTGGACACTTCAAGCGAGTTTGAGCGTGAGTGGGAGTGATCGGCGGTATTTGATCTGGGATAATCAAGGGGACGGATGTCAAGAGAAGTGATGAAGGCCCTGGTGTGGGCGATGGCAGACATGGAAGAGACTGTAATGCGCTGTGAACATTTCAACCTTAAGCTCTTGACGCCATTCACGATGCGAAGCCTGTCTCCAATACTGGTGATGCCCATTTCTTTGAGAGCGTCCTGGTCTAGCTCTAATAGAATATCACCACGAATATCATTATTCTTGAATGTTGGGATATGTGCAGCACATTTATTATCAGCGAGCCATCGTGCGACGTGGGCGTCATTCCAGGTGCGCATGTAATCTGAAAATGGGGTACCGTGTGGCGGTTCTAGCAAGGACATTTGTGTTGGTGAAGTTAGTGTGATGAATGAACGGGAGTTTGTGAGTTGATGATGTGAAGAACGAGTTGAGGACTTAGAATGGAGAATGTCTAGTGTAGGTAGGTTACTGGCTGTAATGGTAGCCATGAAGAGGTGCTATTTCAAGGTAGGGTAATTGACCGGAGTATAGGAAATTCCAGTATGCACTGACCAAGAACGTCGGGCAGTACTGCGCGCCAGAGAACGTACTGAAGGTACGGTGGCTGTGATGAGAATGTAGCGCTGACGGGTGAGAATGTCTATCACAAAGACTCTCCGGTTTGTAAGATTACCGTATGTGAAATACATATCGTGGCTGTGCTAGTTTATTATATTTTGTGGTATTTCACATAAAACAACCATGACCATACGTCAATTTGTCATACGGATGAGTACTTACTAGTTTGTGAAAAAAATAGATCTTGGCACGTCATTCGATTGTACCTGACTTTGCCAAACGAACCAACCTGACTCAAGGCAGTGCTTCGGTCAGGACAGACCATGATGACCATCAACTTAAATTTATTTACCTACGAAAATGGCAAATATTGAAAACACTTGCACGCCGTGCTTCTGGCCCTGCTTCGAATTCTCGACTCGCCTGGTTCACGTATAACGTTCCTTTTCCCCTTCTTTTCCCTACGATACCTGTCTCTTCCTGAATCCCCCAACCTTTACTCAAACCCAAAATAATATATCTTTGGTACAACATCATCCTCTCCTCCTCCGCCCTGAAGTCCAAGATGCGGTTCCTAACCGTCTTGGCTTCTTCGTTATGTTTTTCCTCCTTCGCATTCGCTTCCCCTTATCGTTCAGACCTCACTTCTTACAATCTCAATGTAAACCAGTCAGCCCAGGACCCTACAGATTATTCTACCACAAGATCAAACACCACCTATACCCCTTCTCCTTCCAACTGGCGCTCAATCCCAATGTACACCGTCCTAATGGACAAGTTTGCTGACGGTGACCCTACAAATAATCAGTTCTTTAACTCTACATACGAATGGGATTGGAGAGAGACACAGCTCCGTTTCGGTGGTGACCTCGCTGGTTTAACCACAAAATTGGACTACATCCAAGGTATGGGCATGAAGGG